ACAGGAGAGATTTGGAAACATAAAAATGAGTTCAACATGGGGAGCTTTTAGAGGACACTGATTTAGTCAGTCCACTTAAAAGTTGCTCTGGGTCTTTCACAGGGCTTCATGTCTTTCACACTTTCTTCTGTGAACTCCTTAAAGCAGTGGATTTAGATGTTTATCTAGAAGTGGACTGTAAAAGATGGAAGGTGGTGTTCATTGTGTGGTTTTGTGGACCTCAGCAAAGCTGGTGCCCTCCTCTTGCCCCCTCCCAGCAAACTGAAGAGTGGACTCCGAAACCTCTCTCAAATCTCATGACAGAGGTGTGGGAAGCAGGCATTTTAAGAATAATATGGTTTTCTTTGGTCTAAAAAATACTTGTACTCCAAATACAGATTTGATTCTAGGACAGGGCTACGTGCAGTGAGAAATAACCTGTTGCGTCTGGTGAAGATACTTGTAGTAAAGCTGTATTTGGCATTTTGCTATTGAGATTTCTAGGCACTTAAAATTATTCAAGGATGTTAGTCTAAAGAATTACATGCAAAGGCAATGGATTTTGTAGTCGAGCAAAGGGCCGGGGTTTTTAGGACATCTGAATTCCCAACCTTCCTGAAACATCCTTGACTTGAGATTGGGACTATTTATGTCGTATCTGGGCAGCTTCTATGGTCGAGGGATGGATTTGGGAGCTGGGGTGGCTGGAAGTTGCCTAGCTATGCCACACTGCCTGCCTTTCCAACGTTGCAGGGTGCTGACATTTAATTTTGGTTCCATGTGGAAGCGAGGGATGGGGCTTTGAATTGCCACCTAACTCCTGCAATGGCCACAGCCACTGAAGGCGAGCGCATGTGCCCAGTTGCTCTCCAGAAGCGCCTATTTTGCCAACAATGGTTTATAACAGATCACCCAGGCCAAAAAGAGCATTACCCACTCAAGGAGCCGCTGTGAACTTGGCTGCCCTTTGCTGCTTCTGCCTCCGATTTTTGGGGGAGTAAGAGGGGAAGGGAAGTTGTAGGAGGCGATGGCGGCAGAGAAGGGGACGCAGTGAGAGGAGCCCCCACTGGCATGGCCAGCCTGACCCATTCAGCAGGGCTGAATACGATAAATGCCGCTTTATCCTTTCTTGAAAGGAACAAGATAGCGCGGCCTAAATGCCTGGGTGTGCTTAAATAGGCAACTCTGGGACACCGGAGTCGAGGGCGTTTGAAATCGGAGCTCCCCGACAGCCAGGGAGCTGCCACAGGTCACCTGCCTCGCTCCATGGGGACCGGCCCAGGTCTGGCAAGAAATCGTCCACGGACGAATTGTAGTACAAATTCCTTTCTTTGTTGATTGGCCTCTTTCACTAGACCATGGCCTATAAAAAATTGTGTAAAAACAATTCTTAAATATTATTTGAAAGGGCAAATGGCCACGCTGAAAGGTTTGACAGTTTGACATATAGCGCCTGGTTTTGCTCGCTGGGGAATGGGCGCGCGGAGCCCGGGCTCTTCTCCTGCTCCTTACAGGCTCCAGGGTTTTTTTTTAAATAGCATCTAGTTGCTGTGCAGAGTCGCTGCGCTCCCAGCAATTTGACAGGCAATGAGTCTGCTTCAGTGATCTTAAATCCTTTTAGACTAATTTGCGAGCGAGCAGAAAAACAGCTAGCACCTTCGGATCCAGCGCTCAAAACCAGAGAATCAGGTATTGCCAATTAAAGTGCCATTTCCAACCATCATATCAAGACAGATTACTTGCAGTTCCTCTGATAATGTCACGCCGTGCCTAAAGAGAAAGCGAGATGGAGTTTCTCCACAGACAAAGGATCTGTGTAGACCAAACTCATTGGCGACCAAGGCAGAGGGAGCATGATGCAGACCGTGCATACAGCCATGCATATGTGCAGCGTAAACGCGAGCGGTGCGCCTGCTCTGCCCCCCGAATAGCCACGGGCCATTTTGAAGAGCCTGTGGCCCCTCAGTCACTGGCCTACTAGTTAATTGCCACACGGACTTCGTGACACATGGGCAGATAATATGACATTTTCGGTTTCTGTCACTAGCAAACGCCATGGCGTTGCTTGCACTAGTTGCTAAGAAGCTGTCAGAAACCATTAGCAGCTGGCTAAAGTTGCCCTATGGCATTTCCTCATGGCATCAGCAAAACAAGCATAAATCACCCAGCGGAGCCTCCCGCTATACTAATGAGGCTGTAAGCTTGTTTATGGACTAGCATCATTTCTATGATTATTTCCACCTTTTCAGTTCGCCTTCATTTGGCGGCAGGAGAAGTCAACTTCAGGAACGGAGTTGCCGCTGACATTTTACAAATGCAGTTCATAGCTGCTACCGTGTGGCTGGTCAGTGGTGCTTCAAGTTTGTTTAGTGATCTTTGAAAAGAGGAAAAGAGGAAAAAAAAAAAGGGTGTGTGTGTGTGGAATCTCTGGAGACCTCACAGAGGTGAGTGTATTGAGTTGCAAAGTAGATGGAAATACTAAAATCCACAATTGACCATTTAGACTTCTCTCTGTGGTTTCAGTCTTTACAGGATCAATTTTCCATTTAAAAAAAGTGGAAGAGGTTAAACAATTTATAAAAGTCTACCGAAGCATTTACTCTTAGGATAGCCGAGTCCTTTCTTATCCTCTCCCTGCCTTTCACTTTCTCCGACTTGTGTCGGACGGGGCCAGGGTTTATTGTTTTAGGCTTTTCTGAACATGCACCAGTATTTACACTGGATTGAAAGCATTTGCTTCCAATGAAAATCTTGTCTTAGATTACAGCCCAGCAGTGTAATTTCCCTCCCAGATGGGAGTAAAGTAGCAGTATTTGCCTAAAAACAGTAGGAAGAACAAACTGTGCATTAAGCCAAGGCTGGTTTTGGCTTGAGCTAATGATGTAACAGAAACCTTTTATTTGGGATAGGTCACCGCCAGGGATTGAAGGAGGTGATCTGGCTTGCGCTTGAAAGGTTTCTCCATTGTATCTACATAAGTCTTCACTTAAAAAATCCTGTTCCTAATGCTTCTGCTTTCATACAGCAGAAATAAACAGGAAAGGTTCTGGGGAGTGTTATAGGTGGAATGCAGAAAGCTTTTCCTCTCCTAATGGAGGATATAATTCAGGTGCCCCGGAGGCATGCTTTCAGGAATTCTCTTGCCCGAGGTAATGGGAAGCTAAGGCTGCTTGAAGGCCTTGATTATCTATTGATGCACAAAGCTGGAAAAAAAAGTCAGCTCCCTTGGATTATAGTAGATATTTCCATAAATTATCAATGAGTCCTCCTCCCGTCAGGCACGAGGCGATGCCTGCTAAATTAATCTGAAGGGGGGTTGAAATGAGGAGAGAGTGTATTTTTTAAAAAAATGGGGTAGGGGGGAGAGGGTGGGTGAACGATTGCAGGGAGGTGGTGAAAGGCAGTGTCATTAGGTTAGAAGCTTTTCGTTTTTAATCAACGAATGCGTAATACTTCTCTTTTCCTTGTTTGCCTCTTGCAGACAGAAAGTGGATTAGCCCGTGGAATTTTAAATGCTGTTGAGTTGTTTCCTTTGCTCATGTTTCTTTTATGAATTATTATTTTATATGGTGAATTGCTTCTCTCTATAAAAGCCTTTTTTTTTTTTACATACTGGGCTTTCAAAGAATTTGTCAGATATCTTATTTCTTCATAAAAATCTTGTTTGTTTCTATAACTACCCAAGGTTACCATTTCGTTAAAGACATAAGCCAAGTCATAAGGACAATTATAAATTTGCCACGGTCAGTAAGGTACTAAAAATATAACACTAATAATAACTTTTTTTTTTTTTTTGGTGCTGAAAGCTGTTTAACAGATAATAATTTTGACAGTTTGTATCCTTTTTTGAAAAAAAAAATCTTTTTTAAAATTTTTATTCCTAACAGAGATAGTTTTGATTCAGCCCAATTCAGATGACTTTCTTGATCATTCTTGCCCAGGGGTGTAAAAAACACTTGCCTAATAACATCACAACTCCATGTTGCTACAAATACAGTGTCCTTGGAAGCCAGGATATACCATTCAATCTACATGCAGAGAATGCAAAGACTGATTTGCTCTGTGGACTTGTTTATAAACTGCTTTCAGGGTTTGAAGCAAAAATTGCATGCAAACTGGCCAGGCACTGCAACTTTTGTTTTCCTTTGACCACCAGCCCATCAGTCCAGACCCAAGCTGGCTGCTACGCAGTTATGTCCTCCCGTAGATATATCGCTAATGTGATGAGAACTGTCTGAGACCTTCTCTGCATTAAGAAAATTCATTCTGGATCAGTTGTTGTTTAATGGGAGCAGACACCTATTACAGATGTGGCACGCTGGCACAAAGCAGGGTGTTAATTCCTATGGTATATGTCAAATTGGTAACTATTTATTCCACTATGAATTTCTTTTGGCTGGGGCTGAGAAGAGGGGAGGCCGGTTAGCTACCGACCTCCCATCAAAAAGTCAGGGGAAGTTAAACGTCTATAAAAGACTTAACATAAGCAGTGCCCCAGTCCTCTGTTTTTTTCTGAATTTGGGGAGAGTATATGATACTGCAAGAGAGCTGCATTCACCCTGCTTTTCGCATCCTGGAGCGGGATGGGGCACCCAGCTTCACACAAGTCATGTGGATGGGACACCATTGATATTTTCCTAATTGTCATCTCAGCCAAAGTAGCTGATTGGGATGAATTTTTGGGAAGTGACTTAGTGTGAAGAAAAGCCACTGTTTCCACCTTTGCAAACTGGATGTGTGCAAAAAAACCCTTTTTTTTTTTTTTAAGCACTTTTTATTTTGGGTTACAGTGGCAGAAATGGCCACGCTGTCCTTCAGGATAAACCAGAATGGGGCCGACACAGCCCCAAGACCCTCCCTCTCCTCATGTCTCTTCCCCCCATCCCTTCAACCCCGGTGAATTACAGTGTTAAAGAATTTATACCTCATTTAAATATTCATGCAGTTTATACCCAAAGCCAGGCTTCGGCTGAAGTATATAAAGGTAGCATAAGTCAAAATTTGATTCACTATATTTACAGGTGACGGCTTGGACAACAGTGTAGCTTCCCCCAGCACAGGTGATGATGATGATCCAGATAAGGACAAAAAGCGACATAAAAAGCGTGGCATCTTTCCCAAAGTAGCCACAAATATCATGAGGGCATGGCTGTTCCAGCATCTAACAGTAAGTGAACTCTAGATCACATATGCAAAATAAAACATGGAAAATGTCATAGTTGTAGTAGTCGTAGAAGGCAAAAAATACGTGTGATGTTGCTGACAGGCAGCTCAGGGAACTTTTCCGAGCAGAGTTGTTGTTGCCTCATTTGCTAGATGCCAGGGGAAGAGCACGGAGCGTATGTTTTTATGGTTTTGGGGTTTTTTTGTGTGTGTTGTTTGTAGATTTTTTTTTTTGGTTCAAGTTGCAGTTGTTAATGGGATGTCACCGTGAAGTGTGACTAAGCTTACACTAATAACCTCGGAGACCTGTCCTGCCCTGCTGCTCGCACAGCTGCAGCTCCCCTTAGCTGACATGGGAATTGCTGCTTCAGAGCAGAGAGCAGCATTCGGTCCCTGGTTCTGTGCTCTGGAGAACTGCGGAAGGTAATTGGGGAGATTAAAAACAAAGCAAAAAGCAAACAAAGACCTTATTCAGATGTTTGTCAGAGATCACCAGAAGCTTTATGATGAAAGGTCTGAATGTATCTGGTTTAATAGCAAAGTATAATTTTTTTCTTTGAGACATTCTCATTCCCAGAGTGTAAGTTACCACTGTATTTAACATTATAAAGCGGGGGGGGGAGTGGGGGGGCTGTACACAGCTATTTCTGTTGTCACAGCTACCTGTATTTTTTTTATTCCTGGGATTAGAAATCAAAGCTCTGGACAGGTGTGTGGGGTTAAGCTGTATGCTGGAGCTTCTTTCAAGGCTTTATATTGTGTACCACACCTTCTAACGTTAGCATTTAGAAAAGTGTTTCTAATGCCATTCTCCTTTGTCATCCAATTGTGGTGATCTGTCACTGTGTTTCATCCACTGAGGGGATGTGGGCATTTGGCCCCAGGTTTTCTGTCTGAGCTTTTCTGTGACAGGAGGATAAGGGCCGGGCAAGGGTTCCCGGGGGTCTGCAGGTGGTAGCGAAGAAACAGCTCTTGCCTCTAATCCCAGCAGTTGACACTCTCCCCTGCCTGTAGTCAGGGTCAGGATGAAACCAGAAGCCGGCCAGCTTGCCCAGCCCCAGTGGGAGACCTGCCAAGGGTATACTCGTAAACTGGAGGAAGCGCTCACGCACATCGCCCCTCCATCCCCTGCTGAGCCAAGAAACCAGATATCTGCCATGACTCTTGTCAGCATGGGGATCAGGCGGGGAATCCTGCCCTGCGCGGTCCTGGGTTGCTATGAATGAACCTTCCTGCTGGAGCACTCCTCCTCTGAGGCTGGAGAGGGCCTCAGATATCTCCCAGTTAATCTCTCTCTCTGGCAGACTCCACATCAGCTGTGCCTCAGCTTTGCTAGCTCCTTAGCCCTGTCCCTGGTGCGTTCAGCGCATCACTCCCGAAGGCTGAGGTCCCTTTTGGTTTTGGTGGCTCCCCAATTCTAGGTCCTCTCCCAAGAAGAGCTGACAGCCTGGTGTGTCTCTGCAGGTAGATGTGAGGTTAAAGACATCTGCCTCCAAAACAGTCCAGGGATGCTGTGCCAGCAGTGATGCTCACATCTTCCTCATGCAGCTGGTTTAGGTTCTGCTTTAAGGAGATGCCCTGGAAGCTGTGCAGTCAGGACAAGGCACACCAGGGGACACTGAGCAACTGCATGTCAGCCCCCATAGTTCCCAGCTGAAGAATTACAAATTAAGTAGTATATGTTACTATTACTAATACTATTAGTACTTTTTCCTGGAAGTGGTCTGTTGCTGTGTTTGTGCTAGCATCACCCAGGACCAGGGCACAGGAGTGTGACGGTCTATCCTGTTAAACTGCTTGAGTAGTCTCCAGCATGCTCTTAGCCTGGGCCAGCTACCACCCTCCAAACCCATTCCTGGGAGCACAGCAGAAGATAGCAGGGGTGACTCCCAAAAGACCTCGTGGCAGGAGCCAACCTGTGTTGAGCATTTAGCTTATGTGGGCTTGACCTGACCCCACAGCTGGCTTCATGCTCAGTCTCAGGACCAGAGAATGGACCCATTCACTGTTTCGTCCAGATCAGGTGCAGGGTGCCAGTGGCTTTTCACTCTCCTGCTGTGCAGTAATGGTGTGCAAAAGAAGAAATGAGAGTGCCTGTGGAGCTTGCTGCAGAGCTGCCCCTGGGAGACACCATCTGAGTGTCTGCATGTAAGGTGGTCTCCTCTCCTGGAAGACTCAAAATACAGGAACCCCCCAGGACCCATGCAGTGAAGCTGCTGCATTTTCTACCTTACAGCATGGAGCTAAAGCTTGCTTTAAAAATCCACCATCCCCTGTGCAGATCCAGCCCAGCGAGATGAAGCATGGAGATTTATTGCAGGGCAGGTTTCTCTTCTTCTGGCAGCATCAGGGTAGCTCCAGGCTTGTCTGATCAGTTCAGTAAAGCAGAATTGGTTTACCCAGTCCAACCTTCTCTAGCTAGGACCTTGAGGCAGATCTTTCTAATTGACTCTAGGTGGGTTTGTGGACAGTTCCCCCAAATTAAAACATGGCCGGACAACATTGTAGGCTCTTCCAAGCATGTGTTTCAGCTGGGAGTGCTCTCACTGGAGTGAGATGGCACCAGAGAACTTGTGCATCCAGAAGAGCAGTGGGTCTTGTGCGCGGAGGAAGATGTCCTCCAGGCAAGTACATTGATAACCTGGGCAAAAGTCAAAGCTACAGTTTGAGCTAGAGGAATATAACATGTTGACAAGCTGCTTGGGGTGCTGTCCTCTCTGGAAAAAAAACCCCAGGCCCAAATCATGGCTGCAATCAGATATGAGGAGTGGTGAGAGACTGAAGGAATTAAGACTCAAGTTCATTTTGAGGGTGTCTGGGCCTCATGACTGCTCTTGTAACCCTACACATGGGAGAAGCCCAGCTGGGCTTCTCACTGTGGAAGGGAGGTCATCCTGAGGAGTGGTCAGCTGAGGAAACTAGAGATCCCACATCATTTATTTATTTATTATTAGTGAATTTGGTCTTCCGTAGGGTGGACACAAGGTCCTCCCTAAAGCAGGAGGTGAGGAGAGATGGGGAGGTGGTTCTCTTCAGGCAGGGGACGTGTCAGGGCAGGCAATACCTCCTTTTTTGCCCCCCAGTGTTTAACTGGCCTTCATGTTTCCCCCTGGAAAATGGCAGGAAGAAATGAGCAGTGGTTAAGCGTGAAATCCAGCATCCCCTTGACTGCTGGTGCTTCCTAATTGAGGTGTTAGTTGGGAGCCCTCCTTTTCAAAGGCAAATTTTTTTTTCTTCACAGTTGTAATATTAAGACACATCAGTGGCATGGAATTAAACAAAATAGACAGTAATTGCTGTGTCTGTCATACTAATGATTAATGGTTGGAAAGTTTTAAGATAAATGTTGGACTAATACAATCTTTTAAAAGTATATAGGCTGGTTTAATTCCTTCTGTGCAGTTACTCCATCTCCAAAGGTACTAAGTCTGCCTCTGTGTACTGACTTTATTTCCTAAGGTTTGTCCCTTAGTTCTCGTCTCCCACTTAGGAGGAAATTCTTTTTTCCTTTATCAAAGTAAAAAAAATCAAATGCAAGGCCATAGCCTCTCCAGTTGTTGAAGTGTTTGGGCAATAGTTCCCACTCAGTGTCAGGCAGCAGCCCCCCCATTATTTTGACTGATGTGCAGAACTGAGTTGACATATGCCCAAAGGGTAGGCAAGTGCTGTCCTCTGCAGATGCAGGCAGTATGCTGTGAAACACTTCAGGGGGTAAATTCATCCAAATTGCCTATTTTTTACTTCCCCTTGGAATAATAATAACAAAAAAAATCAGCTAAAAGAATAGTAAAAGTGGTGACCAGACTTACACTTAGGATTTTGCAGGTTTTATTTTTAACTATTTGCCATTCTGACTTAATTTTGATTAAATATCTGGATTGGAAGAGCTGCCCACACTGCCCATTAGCTGGGCAAAATGTAGCTGTGGAGCTTGTTGAAATTTTTGATGGTAGATTGTGACACCAGCCTGTAAATTTTGAGGTTTGTGAAATCTATTTTTAGGATTTTGCTCTAAATTTGAGATGGAAGGAACAGCCTGTTACTATTTGGGTTTAAAAAAAAAAAAAAGAAAAAAGAAAAAAGCTACTGATAATTTGGTGAAGAGGTGAGGACATCCCCAAACTGTAAAAGCTGAGTGAAAAATGAGGGGAGGCTTGTGGGGTGGCATCAAATGCCATGGCAGGGTCTTGAGGAAGAACTGGGGCAAACCAGTCCTGTACTGGAGCTGGATTCCAGAAAGTTACCCTAAGGATAACTTCAAGATGTGCTACAGCCTGGCAACATTTTACACACCCTCCTTTTTTTTTTAAATGTTTATTATTATTTTATTATTTCTTGGATCACTTAACATTCAGGGATCATATCTCACCACCATTTTTCAAGCAGATCTCCTCACTGTAATGGATAGCCCTCAGCAGCGATTGCAAAATAAGGGAAAAGCTTGGAGGGGGGGAAGGGGAAGAAAAAATAATCTTGCCTACAACCAGATCTGTGTAAATTTAATTGTGGCAACAAGATTAGTTTCTGCTTCGACCCATACTATGCTTTTGTCCCAACAATGGTACCTTTCTGTTCAAAACCAGAAGAAGAAAGTTTGGGGGTGTCTTTTCAAGTGTTTTGTTCATTCATTGTGAATTCTCTGCATCCTTTAAATCCAGCTTAATTTAAAATGTTGGGATTCAAACCTCATTTTGGGGATTATATGATGTAATTAGTTTGTTATATGATGAGTATTTGATGCTCTTCATGTTCATCATCTAATCAGGCAAAAAAAGCCATAAAATTATAATCCCAAAAGATGTTTAATAACAATTTAAACTATTGAAGGCTTTATTTAAGCACATTAGGGGATTATAAACTACTTTTTTTTTTAATGATGCCAAGAGGTCGATTCAAGGACTTCAAACACCTTTTAAAAAACAAATTGCCATGATTTAAAAAAATGAATGGGCCAAGGATTTCTTTCATGTAAATCCCATAATTTAATCATTATTTTTAACTGCT